AAGGATTCCCCGGGCCCTGAGGGTCTGACAAAGAGGGAATTCTTAATCTCGGGACTTCTGTTGAAAATACTCTCCTTCAGATCAAGTGCGGGGGTATCACTCAAGATAGCCTGCTATAAGCAATGTCTCTGTTCCAGAAAGAACTTGGTTGGATCCTGGTTACAGCATTTCTTTAGCTGTGTGACCTTTCACAAACTGCTTAACCTCTCTGAGCCTCCACTTTCTCACCTACAAATTGCTGACAATAACAGCACCTCCTTTTAAAATTGCAACTAAATTTCCTAGTGAGGCTGAGCTATTAACATAAAGTGAAGCAGAACACACTTGTTCATAATGGGGTCTTAAGTTGTATTCTTTAAACAGACATGTATTGTTTACATACTAAACATATAGAAAGAGACACACTTCCACAAAGATGTGGGCCTCACTGTATTTTCTCATCTCACTGTTCATGGATATTTGGGCACAAAGGAGTGTTCGCTTTCTTCATTACTCAGCTATTAGAAAATAAATAGCAAAAATGTGATAATAAATGATAACTAGCCTTTGGCTTTGGGATAAGTAACAATAGGGAGTGGCGGAGACTGCGGCAAACTGGAGAGGTGAGACAGTCTAAAGGGGACAGTCACCACTTGGCTCCAAAAGACTAAGGACATATGGAGATGGAGGCTCAGTCTTAGCAGACTTTCTGATTTTTTTAAATGTTGCCCCAAATCCAGATTTGTTTATATGAAATTGGATTGGCATCTATTTCAAATTTTTCTAAAAATACTGCAATGGTCCAACAATACACAGACCAGAAGTTGTAACTGTGGTTGGATTCCATGCATGATCCATCTACCTGTTGAGAATTCCAAGGTCACAGAGCTATGGATGTTGACTGGGTTCACTCAAGGGATCTTTTCATGAATTCCATCACAGGTGGCTATTTATCTAAATTCCAAGTGTCTGATAAAGTTGGGCACCTTGGGTCCTGTGATGGTTAAGATTGTGTGTCAACTTGGCTGGGCCATGATTCTCCGTGTTTTAATGTAATCACTCCCATGATTGAATATACTGTGAGTAGCCAATCAGATGAAAGGGAGTCTCCTTG